CCAGCCTTCCAAGTAGCTGGAACTACAGGCGTGCACTACCACGCCCGGCTAATTTTTTGATTTATTGTAGAGATGAGGTCTCATCAAGTTGCCCAGGCGGGTCTTGAACCTGCAGGCTCAGGCAATCCACTCACCTCAGCCTCCCAAGGCGCAGGATTACAGGCTGAGCCACTGAGCCCGGCTAGTAGTTCAGTTTTAAAAAATATTTTATTTTAGGCCAGGCAGGTGGCTCAAGCGTGTAATCCCAGTACTTTGGGAGGCCAAGGTGAGAGGATTGCCTGAACCTTGTTCAAGACCAGCCTGGGCCACATGGTGAGACCTCATCTCTACAATAAATCAAAAACATTAGCTGGGCGTGGTAGTGCGCACCTATAGTTCCGGCTACTTGGAAGGCTGAGGTGGAAGGATTGCCAGAGCACAGCAGGTCGATGCTGGGGTGGCCGTGAGTATGCCACTGTACTCCATACTGGGCAACAAAGTGAGACTCCCAACTCAAAAAAAAAAATTATTTTAAAGATGTGAAACACAAGTCAGGATGAGGTACATAAGTGGTCATTGTACAGTAAAGTTTGGGCCTCCCACTGGTCCCCACTTCACCTGATTTGAGATCAGGTCCCCTTATTAATGTTATGTGTCCCCTCACCCCTGGCAGTGTCCCACTACTGCCAATCCCTTTCTAACCGTATTATGGTAAATGTTCAGGGTCCCCTTATGAGTGAGAGCATGTGGTACTCTGTTCTTTGTTTCTGTGATGGGTCACTGAGTGTGATGGACTCTAAATCCATGCAAGTTGCTGCAAAGTCCAGGATTTTGTCCATAGTAGTTCATTTCTTTTCATTGCTCAGTAGTATTTCGTTTTAGCTATTGAATGTTTTATTTCTAGAATTTCCATTTCATTCTTTTTTAATATTCCATTTTCTAATCTTTATTTCCATCAGGTCAGGTGCTTCTACATAGTTGTGATATATTCGTATCTTTGTCCCGCAGTTTCTGTCCTCTCTGAATCTGCTTCTGTTGACTGATTTTGTTGGATGTGACTCGCATTTTTCTTCTGATGTCCTGGTTACCTGTGGGAGGGCGTGAGGCACTGACTGCTGCATGCTTGGTTGGTCATAGCCTGCTACCTTGCCTCCCTTAATGAGTGGTAAGTGCTAAGTCCTGTGACCCCTCTCCTGGAGACCTTCCATTAGCTTTGCCAGAGTGCCCCCCTGTACCTTCTCCTCCAGGGGTGGAGCACGTTGCAAAGGCTACCCCAGCCACTCTGCTATGGATCTCGGGAACCGTCCACCCTCACTGGCCGTCTTTACCTGGAGCGTTAGGCCTGTGCGGGTGCCCAGTGCTCAACAATGACTCCAGGAGATCACGGCGAGTTTCGGGCACTTGTCTCTGCGGCCCTCTCTCATCGGAACTGCCCTGCGCCTCAGTCTGCAGCTTCCCTCAGCTCTGATCTTGAGCTCCTGTCTAGCATCGTTCTCTCCCTGCACATCTGCCGTCAGGGAAGTGCAGATTGGGTGTGGAGTCATGCCTCTTTCAGCTGTCTTGGTCTTGCGGTGTGGCGTCTCAGCCTCAGGTCTTTCTTTTCACATGTTTTTTCCAGTTTTCTAATTGCCTACAATTGATGGTAGGAAGCTATGTTTTGTGTTAATATTTGGTATATTTAATTTTCTTCTCTTTTGCACGTTTTTCTATAAAGAATATTAGAATCAGCTTGTCTTGCTTAAAAAAATTCCGTATGTGTATTGTTATGCCGAGTGTAGATTAATGTAGGGAGAACTGGTATCTTGACATTACTGAAACTCGATGGACAAGTACAGCAGCATGTAACTTTTAATTTTATCATATTAAGCTAGTATCTGTTTATTCCTATTTTATTATTCGTTTTCAACAGAAATTGATGTGTATTTTGCCGTTTCTTTTGATATGCAAGAGGTTGTGAATTTTCTTCTCTGATCTGTTAATGACTTATGTTTATAGAGTTCCTAATATAGAATCCATTTAAATAAACTACCATATCTTATGTGCTGATATTTTATTTATTTTGGATTTTTGTATAGATTCTTGATTACTTTTGACTGTTCCAAAATTTAGATTCCAAGCTGTCAGAATCCTTAAGTAAATATAATGTAGGCTTTGAACATCTTCTAAAGGAAAGAATTTTTGGAATTGTAGGGTAAATGCATTATTGTGGTACTTGGTTACTTTTAACATTATAACACGTATTTGAATGTATTAGTGTTGATGTTTTTGTTACAAAATAATTGTTAAGAGAATCATTTTGTGTTATTTGTCTTGTAAGACAGGTAGTTTTTTTGGTAAGTAGAAATAGGCTTTTTTAAAATTAAATCTTCTTAAAAGAATGTACTTATATAATACCTGTAATTTTATGGTCTAGGTTTATCAGAAAGAAAATTTAACCACCTATCTCAGTATGGAGCTGTCTCAGTTCTCATTACTTCGGTCACCTGGAATGTTTTTACTCATTGTAGGTTCAGTTTAACCTGCAGTTCACCAAACCAAACACATCGCTTGGAGACATCCAGTCAGGTGCACCTATAAGTGCGCCATGCTCAGCTGACAAGGAGAAGTAAGTGCTTACGGACATAGAGCTTCATGCTTGCAGCTTTGAAGTTCTTAGACGTTTTCTCTTAGTGCTTGAAAGTTATGATGCCCGTCTGTTTACCTGAGACATTTTAAGTCGCTGGCCAGTGGAGTTCTACTTGAATCACTTTTAGAGATTAAAAAAGAGGTTTCTTATGTATTTTTGTAAACTGTGGCATACTCAGACATCGAGTAACATTTTGTTTGTAGTAAGAGATTTTCTTATAGAACAGAAGCTTGCCCTTTTAATGTTCTTGGGCATGTGCAAAGATATCTCTGTCAGTTCCTTGAGTCTGTTGTCCTTTTTTTCGTGCATGGCCATGTGTGCCCTGGAAGGTCTCCATTATTCTGTTTATTGCTTTCAGTGTGACATAATCTAAGAAGCCAGCTAGTTCATCTGTTAGAGATGTGTGGTGAATGAGAATACAGAGGTTCATGAGATTGTCCCAAGGTAATGTAAATAAGCTTAATGCCATGTGTGACTTGTGTTTTACCTGATCCAGAGATTCCCTCTTGTTTTTTAGGTCTTAAACAGGGTCAGCATGGTAAAGCTGCTTGACTCAGTGACTTGTGGTTAAATTAAACAACTCACACATGCAAGCTTTTCTGTCTGATTAGGCTTTGTATGTGTAATCTTTTCCTTATTGTTATGATGATGATGATTTACTTAAAATGTAATGGCTTTGAGGCCTATCTGTTGACACTTTCACCACCAGAGCTCAGAGGGTTCTTTCGTAGCTCCCTAGCCTTTATTAGTTGGGTCTTTTGAAATTGTAACCAAGATGAGTATTAAAATAGTTAATTTTAGCCTGATGCAGTGACTCACACCTGTAATCCCAGCACTTTGGGAGGCGGAGGTGAGAGGATTGCCTGAGCGCAGGGGTTCGAGACCAGCCTAGGCAATTTGGCAAGACCTTTTCTGTACAGTACATCAAAACAAAATAGTTAATTTTATAAGCCTTCCTTTCTAAAAAACATTGAGTCCTGAATTGTTTGTTTTGTTATATATATATATTTTTAAGTGGGAGTCTCACTCCATTGCCCAGGCTGGAGTGCAGTGGCACAATCACAACCACCAGTCTTGACCTGCTGGGTGCCGGTGATCCTTCCACCTTAGCCTTCCAAGTAGTTGGAACTACAGGCACGTGCTACTACACCTGGCTAATTTTTTTATTTATTGTAGAGATAAGGTTGTTTTGTTATATTTAATCTCTCACTTGTCCACGAGGCAGAGCACCTGGAATTCATATGAATAGCAGAGTACCATAACGTTTCTGTATTTAATTCCTCACACGCCAAGAACAGTTTTGCTAGCAGAAAATAGGGTGACCATATTCGCAGTACACAATCAGGCATCATCCTCTGTCCATAGAATTGAGACCGTTTTGAGAATTGGATTTGTTTTGGTTTATTTTTTTATTTGTTGTTAGGAGCAAAAAGTGGCAATGGGTACCAAAGGTTAAAGAAAAAAAACAGTTAAAGTGCCTTATTTTCTGAAGATTGGGAAAGACCAGCCACTGTTTAAATTGTTAGGCTGTGTTGTCACAGCTTTGCAGGACCCTTTTACCTTCTTGCCTCAGGGAGGGCCGTACTGGGCTGTGCTGTGGGAGGGTCTGGGGGTGGGGTGAGGGGTGGCAGAGGTGGCGTCCTTTCTAGTTTCCCGTTTGTCTTCAACCAGAATTCATTATCGCGTGTTATGTATTAATAGCTGATAATGACCACTTTGAAGCACTACAACATTCCAAAGAGCTTTGGGTCAGTGGAAAAATATTGCTACTTTTTAGACAGGGTCTTGCTCTGTCACCTGGGCTGGAGTACAGTGGGCAGTTGTAGCTCACTGTAACCTCTAACTGCTTGGCTAAGGTAATCTTCCTGCCTCAGCCTCCCAAGTAGACACCACGCCTAGCTACTTGTTTAATTTTTTTGTAGAAATAAGGCTTTATTGTGGCCCAGGCTGATCTGGAACACCTGGGCTCATGTAATCCTCCTGCCTCAGCCTCCCAAAGTGCTGGGATTGTAGGCATGAGCCTCCATGCCTGGACCTTATTCATTTTAAACACTGGATGAGATAGAAATTATTAAAGTATTTAAATAGTGATATTCTCAAGGTATGTACATATGTACTTTCTTCAGTCTGGTATCACTACATACTGTTAACATTTTATAGTCCTCATAGAATTTTTATTTCTTCCACAGTCCTGAAGCTAGCTTTTAGAATTTTTAGTTTCACTTAACATCATCTACTCTTTACTGAGAAAAAGGCCTCTTGGCTAATGCCTAAATTATTTGCTTAACAAAGCAGTGAAGAATGTTCTCTGAGCAAAGTTATATCTTAGTCCTGTTATATGTATGTTCATAGATGAGATAAACCTTTACAGTGAACTAATGCAGATAAGACTTGGCTGAAGTAAGTTATTTCTGTTTTCCTTTAAGTGGTGAAAATTTAGGGCTGGAATCTAAGTACCTGAAGAAGAGGGAAGATAGCATTCCATTACGAGGACTCAGCCAGAACCTCTTCAGCTCGGGTGAGCAGGCATCTTGAACAGTACTGGGCACGCTGTGGTCTGGCTGGGGACACACCAAGACTTGGTGATCCCAGCTGCCCTTTCTGTCCCATCTGCAGACCTTCAGAAAGACGGCAGCCTCGGAGCCGCGCCCACGGCGTCCAAGCCCATGGCACTCGCGGCCACCTCGTCAGCCTACTTCCCTGGGCAGTTGCCGAGCAGTTAGTACTTGATGTACTTCTTTCGGACACTTTCGAAACTCGGGTGGTCTGAAAATGGTAACATCAGTCAGTTCCTCAACAGGCGAGGTTCCCATCTGACTCAAGCTGCTGTTGGACTGAGGTGATGTACTGCTGTCCTTCATGGCAGGCATGCACAGGGACACATCTGACTTGGGAGCTGATAACAATTCTGAGTCAATGAGACTTTTTGGCTTGTGGATGTGGCATTTTATAAAACAATAATGGCATGCATTTTATTAAACCAACCTTAGAAATTCAGTTCCCTTAGGAACTGATCCTTCCTTAGGGAAATCAATGATTAGGGAGATTCTAATCATATTGAAAATCTGGGTAAATTAAAACCTCAGAATATAACATGGAACCAAAGAATGCTTGTAATTTATTGTTAAAATAAGTTTTTAATTTGCCACCTGAAAATTGAGGGAAAACAATTATCTCCTAAGATGTCTATGTTACTGACTTTTACACTGAAGCAAAAGTCCTAAGTTTGCCTTAAATGACTGAGATGAGTTGAGGCTTTCATGGCAAGTAAACATGAGTATTTTTCTTGAAATATTCAGATTAGCTATTGAATGAGTCTACTAAATAAATGAGAAATACTGACACGAATAATTTTGATGGTGTATTTACGTGATTATATTAGGTACAAAGTGCCTTAGGCATTTGAGCAGAAAAGCTGTTAAGATTTTGGTGCTTCCTAGAAGTTTACACTTGTCCAGTTTTTGTCAATGTGGAATTTTATTAGTTATGCAGTAATATCTGGATCAGTGGGATTTTATCTTAAAACTTGGCACCATAAGGGCATGTGATATGCATTGTACTTGTTTTCATATCAGAACTTGGGTTGATTAAATGTTAATAAAGAAGGCAAAACAAGCAGCTGTTAGAAGTTAAACTGTCTTCTTTTTCCTCTAACTAAAAGTTTAACTAAGATTGTTCCTTGGAAAAAATTATGTGATTTTAAAAACGTCACTTCAGCCGGGCTCGGTGGCCCAGCCAGTAATCCCACGCTTTGGGAGGCTCAGGCGAGTGGATTGCCTGAGCCTGCGGGTTCAAGACCCGCCTGGGCAACCTGGCGAGACCTCATCGCTACAATAAAAAAAATCACCCGGGCGTGGCGGTGTATGCCTATAATTCCAGCTACTTGGAAGGCTGAGGTGGAAGGATTGCCAGAGCCCAGCAGGTTGAGGCTGCGAGCAGCCACTGCATTCCATTCTGGGCGACAGAGTGAGACTCCAACTCAAACAAAAGAAAACAAAACAAAAAAAATGTCACTTCAGTTCAGTGTCCAATTTTGTCTTCCCTATTGCCAACTGCCCCGAACCTAGTAACGTCTCTCGAGTCTCTACATCAGCTTTTGTTTGCAGAGTGCTAATGCTCATGTGATCACTTAAAATGTATTTTGAAGTATTTTATTACTTCAAATGAGGAAAGAAACATTTCAAGATATTCATGACATATACCAGTGCTACTGGGTTCCAGGTAAGACAAAGAGTCTTTTGCTAAATTTGTTTCTATAAAGCCACAGCCTTAAGTCCTAGACTTGGAGACTCGTGGCAACTGCAGGTTGTCTGAAACTAGATCTTATCTGAAAATTCAACTACCAATATTAGACACCGATTTCCCCCCCGACTGGAAAGCACTTACTGTTCTGGAAAGAAGCCTCTGGGTCCTGCTTTATTGTAAATGTGATGCAATCTATAAGTGCACTGACAGGTTATGGCCCAGGTGTGATCCGCACGCAATGCTTGCCCTTTTTTTTTTTTTTTTGAGTTGGAGTCTCACT